TACCTACCCTCTTAAGCTTTCTGTTAATTGTCATTTCAATAAATAGTTTTCTGGTGTCTTAAATTAACATTGAAAACATAGCACTCAAAAAGTACCTCTCCACATCTTCATCTTCTCCACCAGTTCTAATGCTGTGACAAGCACCCTTTTTAGCTTCCCATCCTAATTAATAAATAATTACCTCTCACCCATTACTCTAGGATTGCATAAATAATAGTCAAAACACTTAGCCAACTATGCCACATCATCACCCCAAACAAAAAACTTAGCTCAAAAGACAGCTGAGCACACTAAGAACAGTCTTAGGCCACCCAAATATCAAGGACCTCCAGCTACATTTCTGAGTTCTTTCGGACATAGGAGACTGCACATTCTTAGCTATATAATCAAACAGCAGCCTGCACATTCTTAGCTATATAATCAAACTGCAGCCTGCACATTCTTAGTTTTCCTTCAATCCAACAGATTAGTATATCTCCTCCTGACATAGCACCATGGTTCAAAGTATCGGCCGAGTCCGAGTCAACTCGGCCGAGTCGTATCCGTCTCAGCAGTTGCCGATCCGATAACGATAGCACCAGAGTTCAACACATGTGAAATAGAAGTACTGAGACCCAAGTACATAATTAAAGTGACAGACAACCTTTTTTTTTTTTTTTAACCTCACTTAAACAAAATGTGCAGAGTTTTTGACTTTCGAACCTAACCTTGAAATGCAAATTCTTATCATAATGAAAAAAGAAGAAAAATACAAACATACGAAAATCCAAGTTGCAATGATTTATATAAAAAGTAAATGAGTGACATTGAGCAATATAATGAAGCAATTAAATAAAAACGACATCAATTACCCCAAGTTCATTCTTGGACTTAATCGGTCCTTGAAGAGCACTGCTGCGACTACCATCCTCTTCATCATCACCATCATCACTCCAAGCATCCATCTTATGTGCATCAGAATCCCTTATCTCGCCCTCTTCCATGTTCACCTCTCCCTTCCCTTCCTCTTCTTTTTCTTCTTCTTCTCCTCCTCCTCCTCCTCCTCCTCTTCATCGGCATCATCATCTTCACTGCTAGAAGATGTGGTCGATGATGACAAAGATGAAGACGAACTCGCACTCTCAGAATCCGATTCACTATCACTCTCATCTTCATCACTCTCTATTTCCCTACCCTTCAAACCACTCCCGTCAATGCTCCGTACACCACCACTCCTGGCAACATCCCTATCAACACTCACTACTTCACCACTCTTCACATCATTCCCAATAACACCCTTACCATGAACACTTGATATTTGACCAGTCTTTGCGCCAAATGAATCAACAACCGAAGCTGGACTATTTGACACCCCATTTAAACTAACCCTCTCCATCTCTTCCTCAATCAAACAACCGAAACTCCCCAACATTCCAAACTCACCTCCAACTGGGTTCTCAACTTTTATTTCCTTACAAACATGATCTTTACCAACTTCAATCCCACTCTCAAAAAATCCAATTCCAGCCATCCGTAAACTAGAATCGTCCGGGTCTGGAGTCAAGCAGCCCAAATTCCCCAACTTTTCAGACCCATGTACAATTGAATCTTCCACTTTAATTTCCTCGCTAAAACCAAGTTGAACCAATTCAGTACCGCTGTCAACAACCACTGATTCAACCTTCTCTGAACCAACCCTCTCTGGTTCTGCCTTTAAGCCATTTATACCGCTATACGGCTCTGGGTTTTCTTCCATCCCATTCTTTATTGAGCCAAAATCAAGAAATGAATCAACAAAATCCAAAGGGAGATGGAAGTCTTCGACTTCTGCAAGTAAGAGGTCAAGTGAGTGGTTTGCTTTCTCAAGCTCTGAAGGTCGAGTATTGAGTTCTTTCTCTTCTTCAAATTCTGCAGAGGTGGGCTTGTAGATAAAACCCACCATGGTGGTCAAGAACCAAAACTAGGGTTTTAGAGCTAAAATTCATAGTTTTTTTTATGAAAAAAGGCTAAGAATATATATAGGTGCCACCGTGCGAATCCTTCGGGATTGAGTTTAGGGCTTTGTTTGGGAAAGGATCAAAGGAAAGGTTACCAAACCCTACTTGGTACTTGGTACTTGGTACTTGGTACTTGGTACTCAGGGTTTTAGAAACGGAGAGAAGAGTTTGGAAATTACTACATTATGAAAGATCATCTGGGACCCGCTCAATTCGGATTTTTGAACGTGGGTTAAATTTGTTCGAACCCAAACATCGATGGCCAAGGTGATTATGGGCTCACCCCTAACGTGGTCAGGTTTTCCAATTGCTGGTTGGGTCTAAATACCACACCGATTGGCCTATATTGGGTAAGTATTCGAATTTTTTTCTTCGATGGTTGAGTTTGAATTTTTATAATTACGACAATTTAGTGAAATTTAACTTACTTTTTAGTGTCCAAGTTGAGCCTTATCTCTAGCCTTGGCATAGATGTAAAAGAGTCTCTCGCATATAATTGTGGAAGAACAATTTTTTCTAATAAATATGTAAAGTGATTTATTTACATAAATTCATTTTTTGTACTGAAAAAAAAAACAAAAAAAAAAAAGAGGTAAAATCTAAATGAGCTAAGTTGAGCTGTAAATTTTAAATGTGTTTGAAATAAGGTTTTGAGTCAATTTCAAATGAGTTTTTGTCGAGCAAATTTGAGTAACTTTATTCTTTGGATAGTTTCTAAGGAGTCGAGGTCAAAATGCATTCACGACAAAAAAAAAAAAAAAAAGGAGCTTAAAAGATGCATTCAAATATGACTCATTTGTAATATGGACCGATCTCAAACACATTTTTAGGGGGTTAGTTTTACTAAAGAAACAAAAAATTTTATATATGCTGATATTTATAAATAATATAAATAAATATAATTTTTTTATAGGAAGAATCATTTCTTTTCCCCTCATCTTTCATTCAATTTTGATTTAGTAAATCAAAATTTGAAAATTTTGTCAAATCACCTTCTAGAGAACAGTCCAAATTTTTGTCAAATCAATTTCCATAAATAATCCTTTAATTCCTATAATTTTGTTTCAAAGGTGTTGTTTGTTAATTCAATTTGTAATTATTTAATTAAGCCAGCCAGACATTTAAAATTAATATCTCTTAGTACGTTAAGTGTCTCCTAAAAATATATTAAAATATTAAATAGGACATATCTTACTCGATGCTGAAAATTGAAAGCACTCAGCAAAAAAAGATTTTATAATTTTTTAAATATGATTGTTCTATCCCAAAATATTTCAGAATCCAATTAAAATAAGAACTAGTCTTCTCTCTAAAATCCATATTCCAAATATCATTCACCTTCTATGTCAAACGCCTCCAAGATTCAGATAAGTTCCCCATCCTTCCTTCTTCCTCCCGTCTTCTCTGACTAAAAAATAAAAAACAACATAAGGCTCACACCATATCACACACACACATACAGAGTTTATGAAACAGTTTGATTCAATTCAACATTTAAATTTTAATAAACATCAAACAGTTTATGAATTAAAAATTTTAGCATTCAGCTCTTAAAATTTAATATTTAATTTTTAATTTTATCATACACCATCTAACTTTTACAATGATGGTTGGGAAAGGAAAAATACGAAGCTTGGGTTGCATCACTCTTCCCCGCCAGCATTTGCGCCATGAAATCTATGGCTTTCCTTGACCAGGTGGGTATATCTCGCCTGCTTCCCGAACAATAGGCACATGAAATTCTTTGAGACTCCATGTCTAAGAACATATTCCAAAAAACAAAAATACCCAGACAATTGATTAGAGGAAGTAAAGTCCATCGAATGCAGAAGCACATACATGAACACCGATAACAGGCGAATTAATTGCTAAAATACAGCAATTTTTAAACAAAATTATCAAAGTACGACACTTTTGAACTTATTTATCAAACTACGGCACTTTTTAAAAGCAGAGTCAATAATTTCGCTTTTATTAAAAAGCGGATTCAGCAACCCTGCTTTTGTTAAAAATCAGGATCAATGATCCCACTTTTGTTAAAAAACGGAAACACTGATATCGCTTTTAAATAAAAGAATAATTATAAATTGCCCCTCAAAGATCGTTCAAATCTCAATTTTTAACCCGAAGATCAAAAATCTCAATTTACACCCTCAAATATAGAAATTTGTTTCAATGTGCACCTAAAATTAACTGTCGTCAGTTTGCTGTCTAAAACTAAATTGATAAATTATATCTAAATCCTCTCATGTTTGTCACTTAATCATTTGAACTTCTTCACAAAATAAAGGGTAATATGAAATTATAATTTTTTATTAGGATAAAATCATATTTTTTAACGATTATAAAATCCTAATAAAAATACTCTCAATCTAAAATGTCCCCCCAATTGGGCATTAAAATAATTATGTTTAAGTGATATATTGCATTACATATAAAAAAAATATTATATAAATATTTACATTCTATTGGACATTCAAATTATAAGCTTGATTTTGAACTTTAAAATATATCAGACCCACAAAATAAAAGGTAATATAAAATTATAATAATTAACAGTTATACAAACAGATATCAACGAAAAAGGGTTACGTGTTATACGTGCACAAACATCATGAGATGTAGAAGTAATATTTTAAATATGAAGGGGTCCAAATGATTAAGTGACAATCATAAGGGGATTTATGTATAATTTATCAATTTAATTTTAGACAGTAAACTGACGGCGCTTAGTTTTAGGTGCATATTGATATAAATTTATATCTTTGAGGGTATAAATTAAGATTTTTAATTTTTGGGGGTGTACATTGATACAAATTTCTATCTTTGAGGATATAAATTAAAATTTTTGATCGTGTAAATTGAAATTCAAATGATCTTTTGAGGTACAATTTACGATTAACCCCAAAATAATGAAAAACGTTAAAAGCTCAAGTTGAAAAAGCCAATGTGGGTGGGTTTCAAGTGTTTTGAGCCGCCAAAGAATGCTTTTTTATTGACTAGATGTAAATCTGCACCGTGTTGATCTTCATCGCTTGCAAGTAGGTTTTGGGGTTCACCTTTGTCAACACCAGGAACAGGGGATAGTGAACATGAGGTAAAGAAAGGACACCAGCAACAAATTGAGAGGAAAATTGAGAAACCCAGTTTGGACAGAGAGCCCAATTATATTGCAGAATCAAAAGATGATCAAAAGATGATCAGATTATTATTATTATTATTATTTTCTATAGATTTTATAGTGATAACTTTATATAGTATTTGATAACTTTACTGAAGTGAAAATATATATAATTTCTGAACTTTTTTGTTTTTCCTGATCAATCTGATATTGTTGTTCATCTGGGGATGTACAAGAGAATCTCTATGCCAAATGGTGATATTATATTGAAATAATTATAAAATAGCTTTTGTTGAGTCATACAGGCTTCCTGTCGATGGGTTCGAAAGAGCAGTAGAAGGAACCATAGGAATCCTGAATTTGAAGACGGTGAAGAGCGTGGTTAATAAACACGCTTGTGACAAAAAACTATAAACAGCGTGTTTACAGAACACGCTTTTATCATTGCCCAAAACTTTTTTCCCCATAAAAGAGGAATTGTTGAATCCGTTTTTTTATCAAAAACAGAATTACTGAATCCGCTTTTAAAAAGTGTCATAGTTTGATAAATAAATTTAAAAATGTCATAATTTGGTATTAAAGTTTCAAAACAACTGTGTTTTGATAATAGATTCAATAACAAGCACAGGGTCAATTCAGCTACCATGCCTAAACACAAATATTCAGTGCGCATCTAATGTTTACTACATACACTAGAAAAGAGAAGATGTTATTTAACAAACTTGGCAAATGAACTGTGCTAGACCTGAGCACACGTACCATGGTATTTCATAAATATTGTGAGTAAATGTGTAATTTATTAATATTTACATAGGGGTAAAATTATGCTAATTAAACTCTAATAAAGTAATTATGTTTTAGTTAAGCAATTGAATTGTTGAATTACGAGATAGGAGAGAGTATAGGTGAAATTTAAATAGTGTAGAGAATTCACAAGTGGTTAAATGTGGGAATAAGCAAAATAAGAGGGGATTTCAGTATAATTATGCTAACTATTGCATGAAAAGGGCACTCAATGGTGTCTTGCTTCTCCAAACATGAACCTTAGGAAAAATATAAAAAGGGGAAATGCTTCAGGTGGTGGGTGGAAGGAAAAAGAAGAAGAAATGGGAATAGAAGAGGAAAAGCTTAAGGGTTTCGGAGAGAGAGATTCGCCGGAGTTTGCATGTGTTCTTGAGTGAGAGAAACCTTATTCTTTGAGAGTTGTGTGATCTTTGATTATGCAAAGGAGTGGAGTGGAGTTGTTTTGAAGAATTAAAGAGGATTCAAGCTTTTGGATGAAATTTGAAGGAAAATTGAAGGAACCAAGTCGCAATGGAGGTAAGAAATCTTTATGAATTTCTATGTTTCTCTACTTCTAAATATGTCCTTGAGGTTTGGGTAAAGGTTGTGTGGTGTTAGAAATAAGGTTGGGTGCAAGAAATGGAGTTTGAATCAAGTTTTGAAATTCAAACTAGGGTTCAACCGGTTGAAAAAAGGTTCAACCTGTTGAATAGAGTACTGGTTGCACGCCAACCGGTTGAAACGTGTATTGAACATCAAAGCTGGAAGGGTTTCAATCGGTTGAAGGGTAAAAACCAACCAGTTCATTAGAGCTAATCTTGGAAAATGTGTTGTGATGTTTAGGGCTCTTATGCGATTGATCTAAAACTGTATCAAAGGTCCTTAAAGGATCTTAAATAAGTTCCTCATTGATTTCATGGCTTACAAATGCATGGAATGATGATTCAAACTAGGATTGAAGTGAGTAAAGTGGGTAAAAGATGGGTAACGTTTAAGGTGGTTAAAAGTACACCATTTGGAAGAGAGTTTAGGAATATGCTAACATGGACATGAATGCAT